AGGAGATGTAGAACAAGAAGTAGTAGTAGTAGTAGTAGTAAATAAATAAACTATTTATGAATGAATGTCATGTAACATGTGTGACTGGTGGGAGATTAGCAAAAAGTTTCTCAAGATAAATCCACAGTATTGGGTAGCACTTGGCTGGCTCTGAAAACTGCTTACCTTAGATCTAAAAGCAGATGAAAAATAACATAGTGTATACATTACTCTCTTGTTACACCTCAGATTAAAATCCTAATAACGGATAATGAATTTATTCCTAGTACAGGCCTCTAACCGCTTGTGAACAAGCTGTTAATGTAGTAACGCTTATACATGTATTGTTTTTACTTGTCCGTGTTCTTTTACTCTTGAGACAGGGGGGGGGGGGGGGGGGGGGAGAGGGAGAGGGAGAGGGAGAGGGAGAGGGAGAGGGAGAGGGAGAGGGAGAGGGAGAGGGAGAGGGAGAGGGAGAGGGAGAGGGAGTGTGAATGTGAATGTGAATGTGAGTGGGTTTTTTTTATTTTTTGTTTTTTGCATGCATGCATGCATACATTTGTCTCCCAAGTTGAGTATTTAAGCTGTGAATTTTTGTTTACATGCTTGGTAATTGAAAAAACCATGTTGCATGTTTTGTGTGGCATGCCACGCACCCTTTGAAAATGAACATATAAAAATATATGAACACTTTCAGTCATGATCATACAAACTTACATACAATTACACAAGAAAACTTATGTTCTCTTTCCAAAGGGTAACAATCTCCATTTGGCAACAGTACCTCTAACATAAGGCTTTGGTCTTTATCCCTAGAGAAAAATATATGGCACTGTCATTTTCAGGTAAACACTGATGCAAAATTCTAAAAGCTATAACAAAATATCTAAGTTTCCCATATCAGAAATCAAAATAAAAAAAAAAAAAAAAAAAAAAAAAAAAAAAAAAAGGATGAAAAAAGGATAAATAAAATATATATATAAAATAAAAACACATTTTCCCCATCCTATAAATATATATAGCTATGAACATTGCCATCCCTCAGGTGTTAAACAAACCCCAAATCCTCCCCCCATCCTTATCGGTATCAACATCCCTACCCTAAAGCACCTCTGCCCTAAAATACCCCTATCCCCACCCACTCCCGTCCCAGTTTATATCCATCTATCCCTGCATCTACCCACTCTAAACCACTATTGCCATAACAGGGCTCTTATGTGGTGATGATGGGGAACAGCCTTAGGATATTCTTATTAGGCCTAAAAAAATAACTAGTCTCAGAGATTTCCCTGAATTTTAAATAGTTAGTCCAGTATTACTATTGTCCATATTTTGCATCTAATATTCTGTGGTACCCAAACGGGGGTGAAGTTCTCTCAAAAATATAGTTTTATGAGAGAGAGAGAGAGAGAGAGAGAGAGAGAGAGAGAGAGAGAGAGAGAGAGAGAGAGAGAGAGAGAGAGAGAGAGAGAGAGAGAGAGAGAGAGAGAGAGAGAGAATTTTTTTACACATTCGCAACGGGATGTCACGTATCCATGACATGCCCACTGTGAGTTTACTTGTCTAATTGTTTAATTGTTTTTACACATAGATGGATACACTTTTACTAAAACACCAATGAGCCAATTACGAGTAATGCCTGTCTCATCCATTTACCCTTTTCTTTAATTTGCAAAACTATTTTACGTTATCTTAGTTACATTATTGATATTCATAGTACTAGTAAAAAATACATTTTCCTACCAATTCATGGAAAGGTGAAATCAGGAAAGGCAGTGCAATCTATGTGTAGAGACATTTCACAAAAAATATATAAAAATGAGCACAGCATTTTCCTCATTTTTGTTCATTTTCCCTGTCGCGAATGGGTTAAAAAATCAAGCTGTTTTAGTTTTTTCTGCCTTCATATACCTGTTAACCTCATGAATACAATGACACTTTGACGCTTGAGTGTTTCCTTTTCTAATTATATCAGCCAGACAGATGTGAGATTGGTCCTGGGTTTCCTGGACAACTACTGTACTCTTTTTGTTTATGATTGAATGAATGAGTGAATGAGAGAATATGTGAAGGAATGCTTCACCTACCAGCAGATCTGCTACAAGAGTGAATTGCTGACTGGTACCAGAACCCAATCCCACTTCCCTAATCCAGGACCTGGTTCTTTCCTAAAAGCACACAAATCATAATCTCACCTGTTCTTTGCGTTCATCAGAGGACTCGGCCAGGCCCCTGATCTTAAGGGCTTCGGCAGTGTGTAAGAAGGCACCCAGCTGAACTTGTGAAATGTTCACTTCCCCTGCATACATGAACTCCAGTAAGCTCCTCATGTGTGTATATGCCACGTCACGTAGAATTATGATCGGATGCGTGCATGGATTCCCCTAGAAAAGAACAAGGAAAAGGTCAAATGGTTTGCATCAGCAGAACACATCAAACGGATTGACAAACACAAACATATGCACCCACAATTCCATATGCATCCACACAGGTGCATGAACACACACAAGTCCATATGCAG